TGTCTTCCTTCGCATCAGTTCGTGCCAAGCCAAAGTGTGTGGGCCGGGCGCAGTGTGGGGGTGGTGGTACTGCGATCAGCTTGTTCGCGACACACTCTTGTCAGCACAGAAGGAGTCAATCCTCGAAGTGCAAACTGGCGGCAGGGCTTCCGGCCGATGAGACCGCAAAAAATTGCGTACTCCTGGGGCTCCTCGCGCGCAGCACAGGGCAGAGTCAGGTAAGACACAAGGGCCCAAAAGGGTTCGGGTTCTTTAGGGTCCGAAGCATGCAAAGGGTCGGAAGCTCTGCTGTGCTTTTTAAACACGCTCGCAAGTTGCAGGCGGCAATAACGATACACCCGCCTGTTTCGTTCTAAGCTTGTCTGGCCAAAGCTGGCCTCTGCTACCAGCTTATTTGCCTTGCCGCAGTTTTGCGGACAGTTTTTCTGCATGAGGCTCTGACGAACACACTTTGTAAGCTTTCTAAGCTGTCGGCTGTTGGGCCCGGCTGGGTCTGGTCGCTTGTCACGGCCATCGGCGGGTCTTCACGTCAGGATTTATTCTGTCGCTTCGCAGCTCAGTCGTCCAAGCTGTCGGATCAGGCCATAGCATTTCCGGTCGACGAGCACGGCCTTCTCAAGAGAGGTGCCGCCACTGAGTGAAAACTTGACACATCTTGGATCTGGCTGGCGGCGGTGTTGCGAGGCATTCATTATGATGTTGGAGCATCAATGTCAGGTTCCATGCCGTGCACCTAGTGGCCTCACAGCTCAGAGCCCGTTCGACATGGTGTGTGGATGTGTGTGGCTTGGCGTAGAGGCCCCCGCAGCAGCGAAGCCGGAAGCTCAGCGGCCTTGGTCCTCAACGTTTGACCGCTTCCGTGCCCAGGCTGGTTGTACTGAGATGAGCAGTATTCCATACAGGCTCGCGAAGCGAGTTCGCAGGCTTTCGCCTCCAGGAGCCTGTGGGAGCACAGGATTGCATAAGCTTCAATTCGAGGTCTCGACGTGGCCACAAGTGTTTGGCAACGTTGCGCACGAGTCGAGAAGGAGCTCCAGAAAATTCCCCAACCGATCTGCATGCAGCCAGTGTTACTTGTCGGGCGAAAAGGCCTCCCACCAGCCCCATTTCACACAACGGTGGCTGGTGGTCGGCAACCAACCGTTCGAGATCCGCAGGATGCTACGTGAAGCTGTGTTCGGAGTGGATGATACTGCAGCTTACAAGGACAATTTGGTTGCCAATGCCTCCGTGACACACGGTCTGAATCCTTCAAGTCATGAAGAGATATAGCTGCTATTAGCTCTCAACGGCAACTGTACATGTTTCTATCAAGAGCTCTTTGCATGACACAAGAACCGGTTCTTTATACTCGGATTGCATCAAATCTGTTACACTGTTCAAGCCCAAGGTGTTGAGTCTTTTGCGTCTAGTGTTCATAAAGTGCGAGGACTGACATGTGAAGTCCATGCAGCATGGCGCATCTTCATGGTCCTCCTTTAGCTCAGCCGCCCGTACTGGCCAAAGTTGCGGAGTGCAGAGCACCTGGATGGGTGGACTCCAAAATTACAGCCAGCCGGCAGTGCCAGCGAGAGCAGCAGCACCGGCATTCTCACCGGGCCAAGTGGACAGGCGCTTTGCTGAGCACAAGTCTGGCGCTGCACTCGAGACGGAGGTGCTTCCAAGACAGGTCCAGAAAACGCCAGCCTTTTCGCGCATGCATGGCTGCTGCACAGTATGGAGATGAGTTCGTCGGTGACACAGTGGATATAGAATTAGCGGATTCTTTGCGGCAGAGAACATTGGAGTCTCTGGACTTAGATTTCGTGCTTGAGAAGCTGCAGGCGTTATGTTATACGGCCATGGCAGCAGACATGGCTATCAATCCAGAGGCACTGATGGCGGACTCGGCCGAAGAAGCAAGAGCGCTGTATGCCACGGTGCTGGAGCTAACTCAACTTGAAGACGCAGATTTGGATTTGGAAGAGAAGCTTGACATCCTTGGCGAGGCAAGCACGGTGGCCAAATTGCCAAATGTTGCTAAGTCATGCCGCTTCCTGGCCTGTCAGGTGGAAGAGTGCACTCGCGGAGCGGTTCTAGCTCTATTCTTAGAGTGCAATCCGGTCTCCATCCGGATCTCCAGTGTGGAGAGGATGTAGAAGGGGAGCCCAGCATATGCCTCTCCAGCCTTTGAGGGGATCGCAGGGAGGGTTGGTGATCAGCACGCGCGTGAACATCGAGTCTGTTCCTGCATGTCCTGTTCGGCCATGCTTGGTCTTTTCAGGCTGATGCATCTTTCTTCATTTTCTTCTCTCAAAAGCAGCGGGCGGCACCTTAAGCCCCAAATCCTCAAACATCCCAAACAGGATTTTCGGATGCGATCACGCTGATTTTATCTCGCAAGGCAAGCACCAAACTCCCAAGCCCTGCACCCTCGTTGAATCTTTAACCATGATCAAAGCCCAAAACCACAATCCCCAAACCTTCCCTCAGACTCCTAGAAGCGAGTTCGAAATCGCAGACCATAACTAAATGAGACCACCACTAACAAACTGTAACTGTTTGCTAACCAAAGAGCCGTTGCGACAGCCAGCCTCACAAGAAGTGCAAGGGCCAGAATATTGTGAATGCTGTAATCGCTGAACTCCAACACTGAAACCCACAACTTTCGGACCGAATTCCTCAACCCCGTGATCCCCAAGCCATACACCCACCACATACGCCTTCACAGCTGAAGCCTGAACCCCAAACGCAAAACCCACACGGAAACTGAAGCCTTCTCTGGAGCCTGAATCCTAAATCGTAGACCGCAACACGTCCCGAAACCCTGAACCTGGGTTCTCAGACCTGGGTGCAGATCCGAGTGCAGAGCATATCCAGTTCGACTCAGAAATGACCCAACAAACGATCTGCCCAGCGTCGGCGCACAGCAGCGTGGCGGCCCGTCAGCAGGCCCGCAGGAGTGCTCGCCCCGCCCCAAACGACGAAGAACTCGCCGAGCGAGTCGGTGGCGATGACATGCCTTCGACCTGCCCCCTCCATTCAACCACGACGGCGGTCGATCACGTTCCCTTGTTCGGGCCCCGCTTCATATGGCGTCGATCACAAATTTCTTGAAGCTTAACCGGCTCCCTCATTCGGCGATGGCATTTGATGGGCTCTTCATGCATTTCATGGTTTCGATTCTCTCCTGGTTCCCGATTCTTTCCGTGGTTTCCACATTGCTCACTGTGGTTTCCGAATTAACTAACATTCTGGAGCTGTGGTTCGCGAATCATCCGTGGTTTCCGAACCACCCGTCCTGCCTCCGATTCATGCAAGCGTGAGCACTGGTTGGGTGAACTCAGCTGTTATGCTAAACATTCCTCAGCTACAAGCTTGTGGAGTTGCTAAACTTCTCCGGCGACCAAACCAGCGCCAGTGCCGGCGCCAGCCCGGTCCTAGCCGCTCCAGGCGCGCTAGCTCCCCAAGTTGCGCAGCCTGTGCGCGGTAGTCGCATGTGTGGTGTCGGAACCGTTTCTCTTTGGAGGTGACAGAACTGGTAAGGTAGCAAATGCAGCCCACACGCTTGATGAATCTCAGACCGGCTACTGCATACTCTTGCTGTCCGTTTCCGCTGGTGAAGACCAAGGAGATGCCCTCCCTTTGCAAGATCTCAAGGTCTATCGAGGCGGCTTTGGCTTTGCTCTTGACAGAACAAAATGTGTTCTTTCGAAGCAGCTTGCCGCAAGGCGTTACTCCGACTTCGCAACGGTTGTCTCCTCACTACCTTTGCATTGCAGAGCCTCGCAGCTTGGGCACGGAGAGAGAGCTTAGGTTTAGAAGCCGCGAGCGTTCGCGGAGTTCACATCCCGTCACTGATGGCCCTGTGTCAAGAAATTGCTCCTCAGTTGAAGCTCTGCTGGTGCCTGGCTCGCTTCCTTACACAGCCATGCCAAGGAGTTGCCAGATAAGCTGTTGGACGCCATCCTGGAGGTGTTTGCTCTTGCCACTAATTTTTTCTGTGAGATGTCCATGGAGGCCTTCGACGAAGAACAAGAGTTGTCCTTGAAGAAGTTTCCAGAACTCGCGGCGCTACGTCAAAGAGTCAAGTGGATGACTTGGAAGACCTCCGTTTGTTTTTCGAGCGCTTTCGGTTTGTTGAGCAACTCCCTGGTCGTGTGCAACTAAGGGATTTGGAAGATTCTTGCACTCGCGTCATGTCCGAGGTGACCACTAGTGGAAAGTGCGCCTTCATGATGGGACAATGCTGCGTTCCATAGATTTCTGTTATCCCATACAGAACCTGACACTGTGCTCTGCCGCTGCCATTTTGGAACAAGTCAGTGTTCTGCAAACTACAAGCCTTTCCCGCTGTGTGCCGTGCCAAAGGCACGCTTCTGTCTTTCCGATCTTAAGGCGATTTTGAGCAGTTGCGGCATGTACAAGTCCCCAGAATGAATCAGAATGAAACCATCCTGGATCGAGTTGGGACAGAATCAGCGACCTGTGTGGTCTGTTGGTCGGTTGATATGCGGCGAGCTTGTTGGAAACATCTGCAGCGGATCACTGCTCAGATCCAGTCCATTCTGGCGTCTCTCGAATGCTACAAACTCGGCTGCTGGGAGTTTTCCTGCGAGCTGCTTGTTTTTCGTAAATCGCAGATCCGAAATTGCAGAATCGCAGCCCTCAACAAGCCGAAATTCGCAGAAATTAACATCACAACCCAGAAGTTCAGAGAGCCGAGTGCCACTCCATGGGCTGCTGCTGCACGCTGTGTTGGGCGATTGCTTATTGAGAGTGTGCCGTCTGCCACTCTATATGAGTGTGAGTTTTGTTTGTTGACATCGTCTTCCAAGGGCATGCTGCAGCGCTTCAGAAGGTTGTTTTGTGTCGGTCAACGCCCTGCAACGCTTGAGCACAAGCTTTCTTCCTTTGGAAATTCTGCTGTACCGCCCTGGGCCATTTAGATGTTCTTTGTTTGTCGTTGTGAATGTTGTTCGTTGGTTGTTGTGGTTGAAGTTTGCTTCTGTTGATGATTGTTGTTTGCTTGTTGTTGGTTAGTGGATGTGTTTACGTTTACAAGCTCATTGTCGCGTGGGCCAACATGTCATTGGACTGGTTTTGTTCCCCCAACAGCTTCAGCTTTAGGGTCTTCAGCCCATTTAGCTTCGGAGCAGATCGGAGAGGGCCCCGGAGCAGGGGTTCGGAGCGGGTTCCGGAGCGGGGTTCCGGAGGTTCCGGAGCGGGTTTCAGACCGGTTCCGTTCCGGAGCGGGTGGCGGAGCGGGGTTGCAGGTGAAAGTTTCGTGCATACCTTAGGCTTGCATGTCTTGCGCTTGGATTGCATGCACTTGTGTTGTTCGTGCCACCGGCTCCTTCAGCGGGCGCCCCTTGAGCTCAGATCTTTTGCACGCCACGGCGGAAAAGCAGATGTTCTTTGATTCGAGTGCTCGTGCTGCATTCGATTAGTTGGCACCGGAGCCTGATTGTGCAGCGCCTCCCTATGCCGATGGTTCCTACGTTCGATATGGCAGCAGCTGACCCCCCTGACTTTGGAATGGAGGAAGAGCTGCCCGAGCTGGAACCCGAGGAGGGCGCTACTGCCGATCCAGGACCTACGCTGCCGCCGGGGCTCGGGGAGTTGCTGAGGTGTGTCGACTGTGACGGCAACGACTTCCTCCCCGACTACCTCGGCCGACCTCGATGCCGGACTTGTGGTTCGTTTGTACAGTACCGGGTGGACAGGCCAGTGACTAGACCGGCCCAGCATGGACAAGGTCAGTGGCACTACGTACCTGCCGGACATGCACCGCCACCCGCTCCAGGACCACGGCCCGGCGACGATGATGCAGGTGGACTTCCGCCGGCCCCGCGCCGGAGACGACGGAACCGACGACCACGAGGTGGACCGCTCCAGGAGATGGCGCTTCGGAGCGGTCGGAACAAGCCGAGTCGGAGACCCTGGCCTACGACCCGACTGTGTCTGCAGGCGAATCCTCGGCTACTTCTCGGCGAGCTCGGCGCTACGACCCTTGGGCAGGATGGGCCCCCGCAGGCCGACCTCTACCTCGACAAGCTCCACCTGTTCTACCTAAGCGCCCTGACCGAGCCCAGGTTAAGACAGCTGCCCTCGACCAGGACCTTCCCGACGAGAACCTCGAGCATCCTCAGCACTTGTCGCTGGGGGACATGCGGGCTGCTTCTTCCCCCCGGAAGAAGGACAGCAGTGGCACACCATCGTGGAACTCCAGGATGGGACCGGAAAAGAATGTCCGGTGGCGCGGGGGAACTCCCCCCTCGCCACCAACGTGGCGATATGATGTGACAGATTTGCGGGCGTTCTCGAAATGGTCGAGGAAAGTGCAGATATGGGAAATGCAAATCAAAACTTATATGACTCCGCGCGAGGCCTCGCTCCTCCTCTACAACTCCCTTTCGGGGGAGGCGGAAGCCGAACTCGAACACGCACCCCTGGAGAAGATCAACTCCGACAGCGGCATCCAGTATATTTTGGAGTCCCTCAAAGCGCCAATGGAACAAAAAGCTGTGTTTCAGAAACGCAAGTTTCTGTCGGATTTCGGGCAACTTAGCCGATATCCAGGGGAAGGACTCCGGACCTACGCGAACAGATACCGCCGCGTCGAAAGGTCACTGGAAGCTTTGGGAGTCAGTATCACCGGCATGTATGATTCCGAGGCCCGGGGAAATCGCTTGCTCGAGCGTGCCCGCCTTACGCAGGCGGACCAGAGGCTGATATTGGTCGGCGCCAGGTACAGCCTCGACTTCGACAACGTGGCCGAAAGCATGGTGATGCAGTACCCGGAGTTCAAGGCAGCCCCGCCGGTGGTGAACAAGGACGGGACTTTGGTCAGCAAGCCCTTTCTTCCGCGTGACAAGGGCGGCAAAGGAGGACACGGCACACCGGCCGGGACTTCTTCCGGCAAAGCAGGGTGTACGTGACCGAGGAGGCCGAGCACATGGAGCAGATCCCCGAAAACAGCCCGACTTCGTCGACGATGGCGGCCCCGATGACCCGGACGCCGCCGACCCCGAGCAGCCGGAGCCGGACGCGAACGACGACCACGACGACGAGGCTGACTACCCCGACCTCTCTGAAGTGGCGGAGGTCTTGACCGTCACTGCGAAGAGCTCACGGCCGGGCCCCTGGACCTTCCGGCAAGGGCTCACCTGGCAAGGGCCCACCACAGCAGCAGAGCCGAAAGCCGGCTCACCAGACCTTCTTCATGCGGGACGCGGGCACCTACGAGGCCACCGACGTCCCCGAGTACGGCGCCCTTTTTCAAGCCAATGTTGTTTTCAAGGTGCAGGCCAAGCCCGAGATGTGTGCAGCTTTTTCTCGTGTCATGGTTTTGGACACGGCTTGCCAGCGCACCTGTTGCGGAGTCGACTGGGAAAGGAGCCACGACCGCCAGCTCAAGAAGCACGGCCTCAGCTCGCACCAGGTTTCCTGCACAGACTCGTTCCAGTTCGGAAGCGGAGATCCGCTCAAGGCGGCCGGGCGCACCTACCTGCCCGTGGGCCTCGGAGGCACCAACTTGATTTTCGGAGTTGGCGTCGTGACAGCAAAACTTCCCCTGCTTGGCTCCAATAAGCTTCTGGACCAGCTTGGCATGATCCTTGACTTACCCCGCAACCGCGTCTGCTTTGAGAAGTTGTCTGTCACAGTGCCGTTGCTTAGGATCGGTGGTCACCTGACAGTCTGCATCACTGACTTTAGCAACCATGTCACATGGCAGCAGCTGCAAGAGACCGTGAACTGGGAAAGCGCTCCCGCCGAGCTTGTGGCCCAAGACGTCGCAGAGACCGGGCCGAAGAGCACACCGCCGTCGCATGGATCGTGTGACCTCCCGCGCGCCGCCCCCACCTGGATGGCTTCGCTGCTGGCGGCGCCTCACGGACAACCTTCTTCACTTCCGGAAGCAGGTCTTCATGAGCTTGGCGGTGGCGGTGAACCTCGACATCCTCCCGGCCACGGTGTTCGAGACGATTCCGCCGGTGCTGGACGTGGCCTTCAACCGCCCCCAGAGCACCTGCGAGCATCCCGAGTACGTCCGCTACGGCAACTCGTTCGGGAAGTTCGCCCGATGCAAGAAGTGCCACCGGAGACTCCGATGGAGCGAGCACCGAGGAGCATGGGAAGATCACCCAAAGGCGGGCTTCGCTACAACACTACTTTCTTCGCGATGCTCTGCCAATATCTTATCGGAGGCGGCGCCGTCGAGCAGCACAGCGTTCCGGCCTACATCCCGGACTTCCCGCACCGGGGCCACGGCGAAGGCTTCCCCGAAGAAGCGGTCGGCACGCCGAGCTTCGGCGAGCAGCGCCTCCGAGATGGACGTCGACCCCTGGAAGCTGCTCAACGCCGAGGACTCGGAGACCTACGACTGGACCGAGGCCGCGTGAAGCGGCTCAAGGGCACATGGGCGAAATCAGCAAAGGTGCTCGAGAGCGAGAAGGGGATCTATGAGGCAGCACCGTCGACTACCACGCGGCCGCCCCCAACGGTGGACTATTTGGCTGTCTTCCCGGACCACTACCACATCAGGGACGGCCTCGCCTCAAGACGAATATCCTCCTCTTCGACTTTTTCTGCTGGGGTGGCCGACCGTCTTCGCGACGACCCAGAAGGATGGAGAGGAGCACCACGAGCACTACGGCGGCTTCGGCCACACGTTCTTTGCCTCTCCTACCGCGACTTCTCCCCCGACGGCACCCTCGGCAACAACATGCACCACCTCCTGGCCGAACAGGTTGACCACGGCAGGGCCTTCATCGTGATGACGAGGCCCGGCTCCGGCCTGGGAGCACACTACCAGCAGCTAGCCGACCACTCCTTTGCGACGACTCGGCTGGCCAGAGACACCCCGGTGCACGTGTACACCAACATTCCCGGGGCCGCGGCGACCCTTGCCAGCACCGACCACCAGGACTACCAGACCGAGCTCCTCGAGCCCCTCCTTGGCACGATCACGGACTATGTTGTCGGCAAGGAACCCCTGCGGTTCGGCATCTACGAGGCCTTCGTCAGGTACCGCACGCCCGTGACCGAGCAGACCGCCTGGAACGAGATGGCCGACATGCTGCACCGTTCCTTTGGAACTTCGAGCTCTCGGCCGTTCTACGTGGACCCGGCCGGGGACGTGGGGCAAAAGATTTCGGATCTGTTTCGGCTGCGTTTGGCCCGGATCCAGTGCGTGCAGACACCAACTCAGAGGAGGATGCCGACCGACGTCCCCTTTACTAGGGCAGCCTTTTTGATGTATGCCGACGGCAGCCGCACAGTCGAGGTGGAAGACCTCTCAACCTGGTTCAGCAGCCGAAGCAACGTTTTTCCAAGGCGGTGAGGTATGCTATTTTGGCGTATGGAGACCTCATCGAAGATCAGGCGGAGGCCCCGGAGCAGCAAAGCCCCGAGGTCCCAGTTGCCGGGCTGCCGACCGACATCACCTTCCCAGGCCTGGCTCCTACTGTGCCTCTTGAGGTGAGACGGGCAATAGCAAGGGCCCATGTGAACTTAGGGCACGCGACCCACGAAGAGCTGCTGAGACTTGCGGTGCAAATCGGCACCCCGAGCGACTTGTTCTTGCAGGCAATCCGGCGGCTTAAGTGTGCCACTTGTGACCGACTTCGTGGCCCCCAGAAACCCCCGCCGGCTACAGCTACCACAAGAGCAACACAATTTGGGGACAGGGTCGAGGCGGATGTTTTCTACTGCCGAGACCTCCGCGGACGCTCAGTGATTGTGTTGGGTGTCGTGGACGCAGCTACAAGATTGCACCAGGCGGCCATTCTTTCTTCGAGGGACCCTGAAGTTGCATACGAGGCGCTCGAGCGAGTCTGGCTGCGACCCTTTGGCCTCATGGTGGAGCTTGCCGTCGATCCGGACGGCGCCTTCCAAGGAGCTTTTGAAGAACGTCTTCGCTCCCACGGCGTCCTCGTGAACTACTGTGCCGCGGACGCACACTGGCAGATAGGACAGGTGGAAAGACAGAACGCCTTCCTCCGGACGGTGATCGAGAGGCTGGTGGACACTTTCGCGGCCACCGACGTGACCGAGATGCAGCTCCTGTTGGCTCCCGCCTTGCACGCCGTCAACTCCATGGTGCTGACTAGAGGAAGGAGCGCGTACCAAGCAGTTTTCGGCCGCGTTCCTCGTTTGTCCGGAGGCCTCTTTTCCGACAGCCACGCCTTGGCCACGACACCGACCACAGACGCCGCCGCCTCGGCTGAGATCGTCAGGGCCGAGGCCACCAAGACGATAGCAGACCTCAATGTGAAGCAGAGCTTGCGGCGGGCCATTCTCCGAAAGACCCGCAACGTTCGTGTGGCAGATCTCCAGCCCGGCCAGCCATGTGCTTACTGGAGATGGAGGAAGCGCTGCATCAAGAAGCGGGGCGGCTGGGTGACGGCCAAGTTTCTGAGTTGGGACCCCAGCTCGCCAGGCAAGCTTGCGTGGGTGAGGTCAGGAACCTCAACTGCCATGGTCGCCATTGAGCAGTTGCGGGTGGCAACCGGCTTCGAGGCCTGGGTTCCGACCGAGGAGGAGGTCCAGATGCTGAAGGACGCTGCCAAGAACCTTGACAGCTCCGTGTGGGCCGACGAGACAGGCCCGCCGCCACCAAAGAGGCAGCTCGACGAGGACGAGGTGGACTTGGACACCGAGCTCTTCGACGGCGCCACCCCAGAGCTTGCAGCAGCAACGGCGGCAATACCACAGACACCTCCGACCGGACCGACCCTTCTATCCTGGGAGAACCAGGCTTGCAGATGAGCCAACAGAACCAGACGGTGGTGATACAGCCCCACCTGCAGCAGACCATCATCCACAACACGGCTCGTCTTGGGGACCCTGCACAAGGAGCTCGTCGAGCCACTTCGACCCCGAGGACACCACGAGGCCAGTCTGTGCCTCGGACCCCACGGGCGGCTTTGAGGAGTCGTTCGCCTAAGCCACCTGCTTTGCCACAGGGACCGCAGCCGGAGCTTGGACTTCAGGAACAACAAGCGTTACCACCGGGACCTTCAGAGCCACTGGTCCCCTCTCAGCCTTTAGTTTTGGATGGACCTCAGGAACAACAAGCTTTACCGCCAGGACCTTCAGAGCCACCGGTCCCTGTTCCACCGACGCCTTTGGAGATAGGACTGGAGTCAGCTCAGTACGAGTCGGCAGACTTCGCAGAGATCCCTGGCATGGAAGAGCCGCCTGAAACCACGGCCACAGACCAGCAGGACCTTTTGGAACCTCCTGTACCACAAGCACCGGCAGCGGCTTCGAACCCCAACAGCTCGAGAGGGTCACCAACGACGCCAGTGACCAGCCAGGCAGACTCGTCTACCGGGCAGCCCGAGAACCTGTTGCCAGCCAAGCGGCCCTTTGACTCCTTGACCACCCTTGGAAGGGAACCTTCACCACTACGTTCCCGGCAGCACCTTTGACGAGGGCTATGGTCCCAAGACCGAGACCTATTACGAGGCCTACTTAAGCTCGGCCCACCGCAAGGACGACCTCAAGCGCTCCAACAAGGACCCCGCCGAGACAGACAGCAGTGACTCCGACTGGGACGACAGCGCGCCGGGAAAGCACAACAAGAAGCCGCTCACCAGGGCCGAAGCCAAGGCTTTGGACCGCGAGATCCCTTGGCGCAAGATCTTGGATATGAACGAGAAGGACATTGAAGCCTTCAAGGCCGCCACCGTGAAGGAGGCAAAAAGCTGGGAGGAATGGGGGTCAGTCAAGCCCTTGTCGCACGCCGAGGCGGAGCGCGTGCTCAAGGACAAGATCCTCTCGAAGCGCATCCTCAGGACCCGCAGCTGCTTTCGTGACAAGAGCCAGGGACTAGCTGAGCTGGTTCCGAAGTGCCGGGTGGTGGCGTTGGGACACAAGGACCCCGACATCTTCCGTCTCAACCGAGAGTGCGCTACCCCGAACAGGACCTCAGAGCACATCTTGTTTTGTGTGATGGTGGCGGGCCACAACAAGGAGTTCGACGACAGCGGCCTCAGCTGGACAGCCTGGAGCGGCGACGCGAGCACCGCCTTCCTGCAGGGCGACATCAAGGACTCGGAGCGGGACCAGCCGCTCTACCTGCTGCCTCCCACCGACGGCATCACGGCCATGACGGACTGCTGGAAGGCCCGGCTCTACTTGGTGTGTACCAACATCTACGGGCTCAGCAACGCGCCCAGATTGTGGGCACTTACGGTGATTGCCCGGCTCAAAGAGATTGGCTACCGGCAGCACGCCTTCGATAAGATGGTTTTCCTTAAGAACCGCGAGGGGCAGCTGGTGTCCATTATCATTGTCTATGTCGACGATTTTTATTGGGGCCTACCGCGAGGACTACGACAACACCGAGGTCACTCAGGCCTTTCGCTGGGGCGTCCTCCAGGAGTTCGCCCTCAACAAGACCGTCACCTTCAAGGGAAAGCAGCTCACCCTGAAGGAGAAGCCAGGAGTTCATCGAGGGCATGTCCCCCGGAAAGATTCCACGTGGGAGCGACCTCTCGACCAGCTCCTCAACGACGACCAGAAGGCAGAGTTCCGAAGCATAGCCGGCTGCCTTCAGTGGATCAGTGGCCAGACAAGACCGGAGCTGGCTGCAGTGAATAGCTTGGCGAACCACGGCTCCAAAACAACCCTGGCCGACCTTCGCGACCTCTACCAGGCCGTGGACTTCGCACGGGAGACCAAGGAGGACGGCTTCATCATTCCCGACGTGCCCCTCAACAAGGCCACCGTGGTTTTGGCGTACTCCGACGCCAGCTGGGCCAACGCCGAGCAGAGCAGGTCCCAGTGTGGAGTGCTGATCGTGCTTTGCAGCACGGCAGTTTTGCAGAGGACCGTCCCGGCCATGATCGTGGACTGGAAGTCATGTCGGTCCCAGAGGGTGTGCCGTTCAACCTTGGCAGCCGAGAGCTGCGCTGCAGACGAAGCCTGCGACCGGAGCTCCTACGTGAACATGTTCTTGGGAGAGCTCCTCTACGAGGTGCCCGCGCACCGAGTCGGACAACGACTCCACAACCTCGCCGCCACGGATGCCAAGAGCCTCTATGATGTGGTGGTCAGTGATTCTCCGAACCTGAGTGACAAGCGCTCCCTGGTAAACATCAGGGCTATACAGGAAGTAGTAGCCGCAGAGAGATTCCACTGGGTTCCCGCCACGTTGATGTGGGCAGACTCGCTCACAAAGCAGTCCCTGGAACTCCAGCTCTCGATGCACGACTGGTTGCAGAACCCTTCCGCGACTCTTAAGCAGTAGCAACCTCACGAGTATGTGCAATCCAACAGAAAACATAATCAGTGAAAGTTTCGTGCATACCTTAGGCTTGCATGTCTTGCGCTTGGATTGCATGCACTTGTGTTGTTCGTGCCACCGGCTCCTTCAGCGGGCGCCCCTTGAGCTCAGATCTTTTGCACGCCACGGCGGAAAAGCAGATGTTCTTTGATTCGAGTGCTCGTGCTGCATTCGATTAGAGCAGGAACCCGCCGCTCCGTACCCGCTGCGGCTGCTCCGGAACCCGCTCCGGAACCCCGGAACCCGCTCCGAGCGGCTTCCGGAGCAGGTTCCGGAGCTTGCCATGTGCTCATTTGCAAGGAATCGTCCTGGCACCGTGAATGTGTTGCAGACGATAAAAAGTTGTTCGTTGTGCTGTTGGGGATACCTGCTGGGATTATTGGTTTCGAGTCAGCACGACAAAGTCGGAGGAAGTGGGTGCTGGAGCGAGCCATCGCGAGCCCAAGAATCTGTAAGAGGTAACCGTGCCATGCTCATCTTCTGCAGGTGACGAGATGAAGGTGTGTGCCTCAGTGCCGTGCATCAGCACATTTCGAGCTTGTCACAGAGCTGTGCTGTGGCCCGAGGAACTCTGTCTGCTCGCTATGGCCTACATTCTGGTGTCGGTCACGTTGAAAGGTTGTGAGCCGCAGGCGAGTTGCCGATGGTTTTGGGTGACATCGAACACCTCAAGGTCCTTCCAAGCCTTCACAGTTCAGCCGTTCCGATGCCGAGCGAGTGGTGACCACGAGTCATTGGAGCATCTCGTGGTCTTCTGTGTTGTCACGGTAGAGCCACAGTCAGCGTGATTCTCGAGAAGTCAAGTGACACAGAATGCACAACATGCCCTATGCCAGGAAGACTCGTACTCGTGCCAGGCAGGCAGCACGTTCTCATTTGTAAGTGTGTCACCTGCGACCGGCAGACGCTGCATCAGCTTGCGAAGTGTGGCCATGCACTCTCCTGTGTGGACACTGTGAGGTTGAGCTTCACACACAAAATCTTCACAGCTTACCCAAACTGACTTCCTGATGCTCAGTATGCTTGCATTTGTGGGGTTACTCCGCCTCGAGCGGATTTTGCGGTCATGTCGGCTACTAATGATGTCAGATGTTGCTCACCTGGGACTCGTTGGAGGAACTCATGAGGCATTCTGCTTGCCCAAAATCTTGGAGGCAGCTCAGGGGAAGGCGAAGAGGTTTTCCGATCGCCAATCCCAATCTAGGGCCTCGCAGCCCCCCGCCGTGCCGATACCGTTTGGCTGAGGCGATTGCCCGATTGTCACTTCCGCCCTGCTAATCGATTTTCTGGGAGAGGCTGTCTCATCGTTAGTTGATTCGCTCGATGCCGATAACATGTCTGATCTTGATGTCGTACTGGCGGCCTGATATTTGATCGGCCTAATCCCAACCCCTTCGCAGCTTCGAGTTCGCGATCCCTGCGGGCACTCGAACAGTGCCCTTCGGGTAGGAAATAAATAAACAAATTGGTAAAAGTATGCGTGTACATATAATTATATAATTATATATATATATGTATATCAATTTCTTGTGTTACTTATTCATGCGTTTTTTTATGTAGTTAGTTACATGTTCATTCACCCTTGCATTTAGCGATATATAGATATGCGTACAAAACATACCTATGCCGTTGCATAATATACATACATACATACATACATATATATATGTATATATATATATATATATAATGCACACATACATGTGCATATGCATATGCATATGCATGTACATACATATAGACACATACATCTATACATGTTCTTGCGAGGACTGCGTTGCACCGAATCTCGTGTGACTTTTCATCCAATACCCAAACCCCTAGATCCAGACTCCAAGACGAACAAAACTCACAAGCCGAAATTCAAAGCCCCACCCTCAAAAGTGAAAATTAACAGCCCGAAAATCAAGTTGAAGACTATCAACCTAAACAATCAAAAACGAAAGCCCGAACCTCGAACCTCAAAACAAACAATGTCCCAAAGTCCAATCCCACTCTAGTTTGGTGGTTTCTGTAAATCGAGGTAATGTCGTTGGTGATAGTCTGGGGCGTTTGTAACGTCACGCATCACACGTCAGTTTAGGGGTACTTGGGGCATTCGTGTTTCACCATCAGACGCGAAATTCTTGGGTTTGTTGAAAACATTTGTCAGGATGCTCTCATTGATCAGCAACGAAAGTAGTGGGATCGAAGACGATTGGCTACCATCATAGTCTTGAACGTGAATCATGCCGACTACTGACTAGAGGTTGGTGTGGCAATGACAGGTCTGTCCTTCAGATGTCCTGGGCTGCACTTGTACGCTGATGTGCTTAACACCGCAGCCGACCGCCTGTCCACTTCCAGCCTTCATTGTGTCAACGAGTCTCCCTGGAAGCGAAATACTGAAGGATGCAGAAGACTCCCGTTTTCAGCTTTGTTTCGAATGTGTTGTGTTAAAACTTTGAGAAGCCTGTGGGCAGTATGCTTCTGGCACCCGGCGCCTTCGCGCGTGCTGTTCGTTGCAGGCAGACAAATTTGATTGCTGGGGTCTTGATGACTTCTGCGACGACAAAGAAAGGCGCCCTTGCATGCACTGCCGGCTGGATCGTTATTTTGGCGTCGAGCCCCACTTTTGGCAGGATATGCAAAAGCATGAAATGGCGGTGTCGAGGCTGTTGCTGATAATCTGAAACGGGTCCATTTCAGGCTTGTGTTGTGCTACCACGAGCTGTGCAGATGGTAAGCTGGAGTGCCAGTCCGACGATGATCAGGCCGTGCGTTATGGGTGCCGTCAGCACCGCTTATGTCCTCCTGGTTCCAGGACATGTGTCGGCAGCTCAACGTGGACTGCTCAAAGGAGAAGGCCTGCATTAATGTTTTCGTTTAGCCTCTTGGCGTCCTAGGCCGTATGACTCCTGGAGTTGTCTTGCAACTTCTTCGATCTATTTACAATTTTCAGGGGAGGTTGTATTGGTTGTGCAGGGCTTGTAAATCATGCGTGGAGTGTTCATGTCGCGCTTAGGGGCTGCCTGTGAAAGTTGCGTGTGAATGCTGAAAATGCTTTCACCGCGTCGGTACCCACAGGTTTGTGCTATAATAATCAGTGCGTTGGTCTTGACAGCTGCAGAGTAATAATGACACGGTCAGGACAGCTCTCTTGGCAACGACAAGCGAGGAAGTTCCTTTATTCAGGCTCCTTCCATGCATGGCTGGCCAGTGCTTGTTCATGTGTTCAGCCAGCCCGACCTGACCTTACCTCGACACAGACGCGACACATGTTCAGGTAGGGTCACTGGCTTCGCTTGACGATGTCGAGAGCTTACTGGAGATGGATTAAGTTGAAGTTGTCGATAGTTGTCGACCCGCAGCAGATGCTAGCATCTCCGGAGATGCTGAAGGACACTTCTCCGCGGGCAGTTATACACAGACACCGTGTGTGCCTCAAACATTCGTTGCTGTGGCGGTATGCGCTTATCTTTGCTCCATGCTAAACCCTTGTCCCCGTTGCTGAGGCAAGAACATGATCAACATCGGGGCATAGCCCCCTTCGTACTGTGGTCGCCGGAGGACTTTCGAGCACTTATCGTACAGTAGGTATGCAAAGGTGTTTGTCGCAGCAAGATGCTTGCACATGTCAATCGGACATGCACCGGAGCTTTAAGATTGGACGCTGCTCCGGAGCACATGCCGCCAGCATCAAATAAGCATCCGGACAGCGACCTGCATGTTTTGCCAGGACACCATACTGACATACTGTTTCACTCAAGAGCGAAGAGGCAGTGGCAACAACGTCATCAGTGACAGCGTCGACTTCAGTGCTGTGCGAAAAGCCAGCGGGCCAGCGGTGCTTGCAAAGTCTGCTTTCCAATTCGACTGGCTGATTCTTTTTCATTAATTGAATTGTTTTCGTTTTCGATGTCACTGCAAAGCGCTGACCAGGTACTCAGCGTACCTCGCGCAGGAGGGCTACATGCAATTCGGTTCGCCAAATCCCCAACTTGTGGTCAGCATGGGCATGCAGCATTTCATGTTGCATACTTTGAGGTATTACGTCCTTTTGGTAAAGCCCCGCCACGCCGAGAAGGTATCATGCATCGAAGCCGTGGCCGTGTCAATTTGCCTTTGGTGTTTTGCAGGTGGGAAGAATTTTCGATGAGACCAGGAGTGGCCGTCTGGGGCCTATGTTATGAGTCATGTAGTCGCTTTGACAGTGCCTTTGTGCTGTTCCGTAGCCGCAAGCCCGGTCTACAGTAGGTCAAGCACGGCATCGAGCCTGTGCAGTATTGAATGTTTTTGCTAAGGACTTTTTGCGGGGATAGTTGAGGGTTACATTGTGACTCGCTTCATGAAAGATGGAGTGCTTGTCCTGGTGGATACAGACCTGCGGCTTGGCAGACCTTTCTGTTCAGTCGCAGACCTGAAGAATGCGGTTGCTCTGGAGGTTGAGCAGAAGCATTTCACTTCCAGGTCTACATTCGGTCGTGGAGGATTTTTTGCTAGATCACCGGCGCACTTACGAAAGGAGCTGGAAGATGATATTCGAGATCGCTTGCGCTGTCTGCTTTCAGGAAGAGCCGCCGATCAACCTCCCCACAACACTTCTAGCGTGATCCAGGCTGCAGAAGCATCCTTGATAGGCTTTGCCGAGAAATCCGTCTGCCTTTTATACGGAATGGGAGTGTCTGGAACACCCTTATTTGTGCCACCACAACGGCTAACTCCTGAATGGCTGGAAGCAATGACAGTCTCTTCCCAACCAAGCATCGAGTATTTGTGTGACGGGAAGAAGCCTCCTTGGCTTGATGCCGGAGCAGTCCTTGTGCTCGTGGCTGACGCGGCCGCTGACAGAGGCTGGAGTGAACGATTTGCATTGGCAGCTGCCTGTTTGAGAGAGGCCACCATCGCCACTGCCCATGTTCATCCGTGTCCTATAATTTGGGCCTGCTGCAAGACAGCTGAACATGAGCTGTGCAGCTGTCCTCTCACAGAGCGTTGGCGACATCTGGTCAAGGTCCTGTATGGCGGTCGGTAGGCTTTACAAGGTGGACGCATTGTTGAGACCCTGGCAGGTGGAAGTGTGGCAGGTGTCCTCACCTCGAGCTCTACAAGCCTTGGTCAATCGCGCTGCTGCTACCCGACTGTCCGACACTTTTTTTCACAGCCCCGTTGCCAAGCCCCCTCTTCCAGTTCTGCTTTTCTTTCTCTGTCACTCTCCCTTTCTAGGTGCTCTTCTGTCGGTCGATCTCATTGCCGATTGCGAGGTGCTGGCTTCAGCGACGACAAAGGGAGCCTCGGATATTTTTTCGGATAAGTCGGATCCCCACGCCTATCCAGGCTTCACATGCGAAGTGCACACTGCAGGCCTTCCCGTCCTGATGTTGCGCAAGGACGGCTGCAGCAGCATTGAAGCATCACCCCTAGTTTCGATGTGGTCGATGGGATTGATGTCTTCATTGACCACTCATGGTGCCACAGTGCCGTTTGTCAATGTTGTTCAGCACTGAGGAATTGACAGCACCCAGATCTACATCCTGCAGGTGGTTGGCAAAAAGCATGCGATGTGTGAGCCTGCAGAGCTTGACATGTGAGCCCCTGAGGCTTCCAAGGTCTGCTTTGCTGAGCCAAATCGTCGCTTTCAGCAGGGATGCAGAGGTGTTGGCACGATGCCGCGTGGTTGCCTCGTCCTGGCGCAAGGCACTGTCAGTGCCAGGACGGACAGGTCAATTGGAGAAATCACTCGTGCGCTTTGGTCGGAGTGTTTCGTCCTCTAGCCGCTGGGTCTTTTGGCAGCATCTCTTGCACCAGCGCAGAGCGGCGAGACGAAGGAAAGAGACAGAGAAAGTGTATGAAGACATGCTTCAGCAGGGAATGGAACAACCTCGATTTGCAGAAGCTCGTGCAGTCATCGCTGCGGATGTTCCCAGGACGCTGCAGTCTTCCGATGCTCCTCCTTCGCTTCGACCGGAAAGTGCTGTGAATCCTCTTCCGCTAGAGGAGCGTGCAAAAGTCTTGTCTCGAATCTTAGTAGCTCTGGCGGCAGCTTGCCCGTCAGTGGGATACTGCCAAGGCTTGGATATGGCTTGTGGATTTATTTTATCCGTGGCAGAAGAGGCTGCAATCGCCGCTGCCGGATTGGATTTGGAACGAGCGGTTTTTGCATTTCTTCTGGCAGTACTAGAACTTGGCGTGCGGGAGTGGTTTGAACCTCCCCTGCTGGGCCTGCGGGCAGCGACCTTTGCCTTCTGGAAGCTGTTGCAGAATGATTTGCCACTGGTGGCACAGAACTTGGCATCTGAGTGTGTTGGTTGTGAGCTCCTCGTACTGCCCTGGTTTCAGACCTTGTTTTGTGGTGTTCGCTGGATGCCACGGGATGTGCTCAGCCGGATTTGGGAGGCTTGGCTCCTGGATGGAACGCCTAAGGTGCTTTTTCGAACAGCTCTGATGCTTTTCCAGCAGTCGGCTGACTCTCTCTCCCAATCATGTTTGGAGGACATTTCGCAACAACTCAAGCAATGCCCACCTGGCCTCAGCTGTAACCCTGCGACTTTCTTAGAACTTGCCTGGCGCACAAAAGTGACCAGCAGAGTGTTGAGCTCCCTCGTGGCGGAGGCGAATGAAAGTCTTTGCGAAAATTCCTGTGCCTTACAGAATCAGGGTGTTCGAAGACATTGAGCCGCGGACATGGAAGAGTGGTGTGGCGCACGCACGTGCGCACACACACAGACACACACACACATAAATATATATATAAATATATATATATATATTTATTTACACACACATATATATTTATACACACACATATATATATATATACGCACACACACACACATATATATATATATATATATCTGTGTACATGTGAGTGCGTTGCTGCGGGCGTGTGTGTGTGTGTGGTCTGCGTATCTATTTGTCCGTCCTTC